GGAGGCCCCAGAGGCTCCGCCCAGTGCCCGCCCATCCGCGCACAGCCCTGCCCAGGGTGAGCCCCTCCTCCTGTTAGGGGGCGTGAGGGCGGGGGCGGGCTGGAAGAGGTCCCTGGGGAAAGAAGGGACATATGTAATACTTTTTTTTTCATATATTTTATTTTTTACAGAGAGGAAGGGAGAGGGATAGAGAGTCAGAAACATCCCAGACATTTCCTAAATGCATCTTTATAAGCAAATATTTAAACAGGAGCACAGGACAGCTCTGAGACTGAAATTTCACCAGCTGTAAAGTCAAATCATTTGGTTTTGCTTTATCTTCTGTGATCTGTATTTTCTTTAAAAAATGGGGGTGGGGCAGAGGAAGAGGACAGGTATTATTTGGAGAGATAAATATTAATTTGTACTTGAGAAATATTTTTAGAAAACATAACAGATATTCAAACACACATTCCCATTTTTATAAAATGTACTAAATGCTTAAGAAGTTAGCCCAAACTATAGTTTCCTTTGCTCCACAAAATGTGAAATACAATAAGAAACATGGGCCTAGTCGGTTTGGTTCAGTGGATAGAGCCTCGGCCTGTGGACTCAAGGGTTCCAGGTTCAATTCCAGTCAAGGGCACATGCCCGGGTTGCAGCTGGGGGGCATGCAGGAGGCAGCCAACCAAAGATTCTCTCTCATCACTGATGTTTCTAACTCTCCCTCTCCCTCTCCCTTCCTCTCTGAAATCAATTAAAAAAAAAAAAAAGAAATGTTTTTTAAAGCAGAGTGGTCTTTACTCAGTTGTAACACTGGGTGGCACCAGAACACTGCTCCTCATACAGTAAAAGGCAGAACCTTTGCTTGTCTTACAAAGCAGGAAAAGACTGCACAAAGGGTGGATTCAGGACTCCAGAAAGCTCGCCCCAAATGACAGCGCCACTGTTCCCAGATGACACTGCTCATGTCTCATGAAGGTCAGTGTGTATTGTGTGTGTGTGTTTTGTCGGCAACTGTTACTTATTTTTTTAATTATTTTTTCTAAACCTTCTTTACAAATGATGTCCCTGGAGAACAGATTAGAAATAATGGAACCCAAGGTAGATTCTAAATGATAACTAAAGAACTTCTCAGAAATAGAGGAGGACTTCACCTCAACATTAAAAGAGTACCTCATGTCCCCACCCCCAAAATAAGAAACAAAAATGTACCTTCAAATAGATCCTCGGGCAATTACATCTGCAGTTACAGAGTTAGGGCCTTGGTAAACTCACTCGCCCACAAAAACAGAAAATACAGGCAAAGCAACTGAAATCAATCACTTCAGAATCCTGGAAATTAACCAAAGCCAAGGGCTGAACTACAAATCCTAATTACGGTACAACATAGCTGTTAAAAACAGTGAGGCCCGGCCGGTGTGGCTCAGTGGTTGAGCATCGACCTATGGACCAGGGGGTCATGGTTTGATTCCGGTCAAGGGTTGTGGGCTCGATCCCCAGTGGGACCTCGGGCAATTACATCTGCAGTCACGGAGTAAGGGCCTTGGTAAACTCACTCGCCCACAAAAACAGAAAATACAGGCAAAGCAACTGAAATCAATCACTTCAGAATCCTGGAAATTAACCAAAGCCAAGGGCTGAACTACAAATCCTAATTACGGTACAACACACTGTGGGTACAACATAGCTGTTAAAAACAGTGAGGCCCGGCTGGTGTGGCTCAGTGGTTGAGCATTGACCTATGGACCAGGGGGTCATGGTTTGATTCCGGTCAAGGGTTGTGGGCTCGATCCCCAGTGGGGGGCATGCAAGAGGCAGCCGATCCATGATTCTCTCTCACCATTTGTTCTCTCTCTTTCCCTCTCCTTCCCTCTCTAAAATCAATAAGAATATATTTTTAAAACACATACACACACACAAACATTGGTTGAAACAAGACCACAGGGATACAGAAAAGGTCCGTGGTGTAAGTTTGACTTTCGCTGTGTGTCTCAGTCTAGTTTAGGGACCTTACATCCCCCACATAGAGCTGGTGTGCAGGAAACCATGGTTTTCATGGGGATTAAACAGCATTACCGAGTAAATCCGTTCAGAGTAAAAGTCAACGGGGACCCATGAGTCCACGAATTGGACAGTGTGGTCAGGAACATCAATTTACTGCATGTTTTCTCATGTGACTAGCAAGCTGCTGGCACTTAATAAAAAGTAAACATAGCTCGTTTATTCACTATCATCTCAGGAGGATGACCTGCTCTGTTGTTTAATCATCTCTGTCTTGTGTCTGCTGTTTAATATGTCTGGCAGGGTCTGAAGGATTAGTGATCGGATTTGAAAAGAGTCCAGTCAATGACAGATAAAACCGAATGGAACAGGACGAAATGTGCAAAAATGGCAACCCAACGTGGAAGAGCAACCTTCCTATCTCGGGTCCAAGGTCGTGGCTCTGTGGCTTTGCTTCAGGAGGCCTATCTTCAAGGGTGTAAACAGGACCTTGGATTTCTGGGAGCGCTCAGATATTTACATTGTTATATTATTCCCTGAAGCGGCTCATTGTCTCCGAGAGCAGCCCTGGCTGTCATCTGTAACGGGAAACATGGGCGGGCAAAACTCCAGTCTCGTCGGCTGATTAAAGTTACAGAAATTCTGAAATTCACGATTACGCTGTCCAGCGCTGAACGCCAGCCGGAACTCTGAAGATAAACAGCAACCGGACACACAGACTGAATTCAAAGCTGCCACACGTACAATCCGTGCCGCAAACTGTTAACTTACTGTTGCTGTGTCATTAATCTTCGTTATTCTTCACTTCACCCACATGTTTGTTTTTTAAAATATATTTTCATTGATCTCAGAGAGGGAGGGACGGGGGAGAGAGAGAGAGACATCAATGATGAGAGAGAATCGTGGATCGGCTGCCTCCTGCGCACCCGCTATTGGGGATCAAGCCTGCAACCCGGGCATGTGCCCTTGACCGGAATCGAACCTGGAACCCTTCAGTCCACAGGCTGACGCTTTATCCATTGAGCCAAACTGGCTAGGGCCATTCCTTTTTTTTTTTTTTTTTTAATGCTATGCACACTTCTTTTTTTTAAAAAAAAATGTTTTTATTGATTTTTTTAATTACATGCTAAGCACCTTCCCAAGCCTTGACATGTACAAGCCTTTAAGTACAAGCCTTGACAACTGCCCTATGAGGTTCACACTATGTATTCTTGTTCCCATTTTACAGATGAGGAGACTGAGCCACAGAGAAGTAACATAACTTGCTCACGGTCACACAGCTACTAAATGGTATAATTGAAAAGATCCGAAGAAACTGGAAAGGTAATACATTTCTCTTTCTGTGATTCACTGTTAGTGGTCGTAAAGAACCCACACGTCAGGGAACTCTGGCCTACTACCGACTCATTTCTTCAGAGTTTTTGTCATTATTTCTCTTCTATCTTTCCAGCCGCATCTGGCACAGGAGTCTCTTGACCTCCAGCAGTTCCCTGAGCCACCACTGACTGCATCTCCTGCCTTTGCCCACGCTGCCTGGAATGCCCCCTTTTCTGGGAATCCCAGTCACACCCAGCTCCAGTGACGCGCGCAGCACCCCCTAGCGACCGGAGGCATACTAAATGGCTCCTTCCCTTTGAGTCCAGGACACTTGGCGTATTCTTCTGCCCTGGAACTTTATTCTCTCTCCTTTAAAAAAAAAAATTATATTTTTATTGATTTCAGAGAGGAAGGGAGATAGCGAAAGAGAAACATCAATGATGAGAGAGAATCACGGATCACTGCCTCCTGCACGCCCCACATGGGGGATGGAGCCAGCAACCCGGGGTGCCCGATTGGAATGGAACCGTGACCTCCTAGTTCATAGGTCGATGCTCAACCACTGAGCCACACTGGCCGGCCATATGCATAAACAGTAAAGACAAACGCGGGGGAATAACGACCTCTGCTCTATAAAGCGCGCTGCTCGGTGATCTAGTCGGTCTGGCTACCTGGTGGCTCCAATGCGCGTGGCCGGACACAGCGGGCTGGGACCCGCTCAGGTTTGCTCAGCAGCCCGCACTGGGAAGGCTGTGCCCTCCGCCCTTCAGGGACGCCCTCCCGCCACTGCTCTTTAGGGACGAGGGGTCCCCAGAGCCTCGCTGTCGGCTTCTTTTAAACTTTCCCGCAACATTTCGGTGCCATGGGCGGGCTCCGCCTCCTGGCCACGTGGGCGCGCGCACCGGAGTCCCGAGCTGGTATTGCACCTCCGGTGG